AATAAGATAATTAATCACATGCAGGAAATAGTGTTCCTTAGCGCAAGGTGGTTAAATCAATTTGACGCCCACGAAAATCGAAGTATATTCCGGGGATTTGTTTGTTTAATCGAATTTTCAAGTTATATATAACTATGAACGGAGTCCAATAAACCACTAAACAGTTGGTGCAAATATCTATCTATCTATCTAACAGTTTGCCAAACATTCTGTTCATAGTTTAAAAATACTTTACAGGCTGATGTATAGCACGAAGAACTGTGTAGTAAATGTGAGCTAGTGTCTACCACTCGCTTTTTACTTCCTGTTTCTTTTCTGCTGGAATATTAGTCAGCTATATGAACCACAGTGGTTTATTGCAATTCTCAATTCCCAACACCGCTCGATCTTTCTACTCGAGGTTACAATTAGCCTTTGTTCATCTAAATGCAACCAACCATGAAGTAGGGTTATTCCGGACCAACCAATGACCAGTAATTTGGTTCATTCACCTCATCTGAACAGCTTTGTCGATCATTTGACACGGTAATACAGGATGTCCTTATTAGAAGCCAGTCTCATTCATCACATCACAGTGTTGTCGTCATTCTCCTGTAGTTTTTTTATTGGAGGAACTTGCCATTCAAAGCTGACCACGGCCAAGGCACCGCTGCAGCTCTTCCTCCAATTCAGTGATTGGTGTCCACAGCGAGCTATTTGATAATCTTTCCTCCATCGGCAACCTCGGGTGGCGCGTGGTGGCATGCAATTCAGACGATAAGTCCATCACCCCCTCCCTCGTTGATACTACTGAAGAGCACGAAATACGTGTGGCTAAACGTCTGCATCGGTATAATTGAGGGCCAGTGTGGCGAGACATTAGATAATAGATTTGCGTATCCGTTAGGTTATGATTTGGACCTTCATCAAATTCACCGCTCCAAAAACGTGTTGCGCAAGCTCGAAATTAACTTGAAAAGTTATTTTCGTCAAGTGGATTCTTTTCCACTGTACATCATCGCTTGATAACCAGCAGTCACATGACGTACTGTTCCCTTAGCCAGCAACATAGTGACAAACTGTGTAAGGCTATCGAAATGGACGATAATCTGTCTGACAACTACCACCATAGTTGAGCAGCTTTAACGGAGTTGGAATAAAGATAAAGGTTTCCAATCCTGAACTCTGTTAGAAGATACGAAACATCATATTTAAGGTTAGATTATGCAGATCCGTTTCGGACTCGGTGCCGCGGCCTTCCAAATCCCCGCTGACTGGCTATGGACACTTGAAAGTATGGAAACATTATCAATGGGGACGTCTTTGATTATCTTTGTTGTTAACGCTTCAGTTTCCTATTTCAATTCAAACTACGGTACATATAAGTCCTAAAATATTAGAATATATTACTATTTTTCTTCTTACTCGAGAATTCTATCGTAGGCTTGTGTTACTCAAGTTACTTTACGGTGGCTGACTGACGAGAAGGGATAAACCTACTTCACGAATGTCCCCACTTGCGGCTTCCCATACTCGACAGTCCAGCTAGGTTTGCACACATTGTAATCCAGTCTGACTTTCATTGACCACTGCCATGGAGCGGAGAATATAATAGAATAGAATAATCGTTCCCATGACTAAGGTGTCCTTCTGTTCTGTGCATCACACTAGAATGAACATTTTATAAAAAAACACGTCAGTAAAATAAATGTACTAACCTCTATGAGTTACATGTTGTTTTATTATCTTATTGATAGCACTTGTTCTTCAATGGTAGAGGAGGAGAACCGTCGAAATCTTCGCTTGTAATATTCCGGTAACTGTTATTTTGTCACAGTCCTTTCTGTCCCCTTGCAATGTGTCACATTTCAACTCGTACTATTTACTTGACAGGATCTCGTTCATACTCATCGGGTACGTAGAATTCTGCACAACTTAAATACGCAAACTCCATTTTCATAATATCCTCTTCAGGCAGGATTGATTGGTGCAAACGCGGAAAACATCAGTAGTTACTCACCGCAACCTACTGCATATGTATAACACTTCGCCAGTTCATTTAGTGTTGCCTTCGAATGACGTGGCTATTGGCTCAAATGTGATTGTTTCTATCATTACATTTATCTGATAAACAGTAAATGTAGTAAATCCAGCTCGATTCAGATTCCTCATTGGTGCATTAATCAGTGTTCCACTTTCCCCACATTTTGGAAACATATTTTTCTTGCTCTAATTATGCGTTTATAATACCTCATTTTGTGCTCTGTATTCGGTAAAGCTAGCACACGTTCGATATTTGCTATTTTTCCACCTCATTTTGTTTTGCAAGAGCGGTTTCTGTTAACTTCAGCCTTCGAGATCACCCAAGCAGTTTCACTACCAATTATCGATTGGTAAAGATCCCCATTTTTGATTTGGATTCATGATTTAACGATCATCCGGAATTCATAAGTTATTCTTCAAGTTGTCTTGTGGTGAGATCTTTGGGTTACTTTTCATAAGTTCCATTTCAACTCTCACCTTTTTTCGTAGTTAAGGTTAATTCGCACGTTTACCGATCGAACCAGAGCGTTCATCTGTCATGTTTTTACCGGTTCTTTGTGCTTGTTTGCTACTTGTCAGGCATTGAACTCGGGAGAAATATTTCATATTGCAAGAAACTTGGATGATAGTTTTTGCCGTCGGTGATGTTCATTAAAAAACCGAATTGTCAAACTGTGTATGCAAGTTGTTCGCGCGTTACTTTAACTACCTACAGATTGATAATTTGTCGTCTGGTATTGTTTTCATCACTTAAAATCAAATTTAATGTAAATTATAACACATCGTAATCGGGTGTCGTGCCGACTACAATCAGAAAGAAATAGACCAGTTAGCGAAATAGGAAAATAAGTCTTTATCTAACAATCTGCGATTGTTTCAGATACATGGATTCTCTGTCAAAGCGTTATGGCATTTTTATTTCCTTATGATTTTTTGGGCTCGTCCTAAGATCTTGGAAATGTGTCGTCCCCGTGTCGCTGTTGCATTTTTATCCACCCAATTCGAGGTTTGTCACCGAAATGGCCTTGTTTTTCATCGTCGATCCACACTGTTGACAAAGGACCCAATCCACGCTTTCGTTTATTCCGTTGAACACTTGAATTCATTTTCTGTTTTCTACAGTAGGTCCGTTAGGCGATGCTTTTTTCATATGTAATTTATGAGTATCGGGTGATGAAAAGTCATGCTCTTTTTGTTTCGGTATCATTTCCTTGTGGAACTCAGTCCACTTGCGATCTCAAGGTTTAGAACCACTGCACATTTAACCATGCTTCTCTTATCTGAAAATACCTATTTTCACGGCATTTAATCCATCAACTTCCTGATGTCTGTTTCTCCATCTTCCCTTTCTCTCTGATCAGCCTAAGGTTATGATGTTTGCCCCACTTTATGCGGCTATGATTGTGTCTTTTCTGTGCGTTAAATTTTCTGGTCAATTACGTTTCGCGTTGGATTAAAAGCCATAACATATTTAATTACTATTAAGCCACAAGTTCCTTTAGTTCATTAACTTTTTACCTAATTAATTAAATTCATTTGACTGATTCGTTCGAACTCAGCCAAGAGTCGGCTGGTGACGATCAGTCACCGCATTGTTACATTTAAAAACATATAATGCATTCTTGTTTTCGATAATCTGAAGATTTATTCTCATTCTTACGCACCAATTCTCAACCGATTATGTTCAAAGTCCGAAGCCATGTCATTCACTCTATTTTGTCTTCGTTGATGCATCAGTTGTGAGCATTCTGCTGCACTTATTGGGTTGTTTTTCTTCCTTTCATTGTACCCGCCTTTCTTTGTGTCCACATTCCTCTATTTATGCGAGACTTGGTCGACATAGACAATAAATAAAAATGCGTTTGGTTAGTGAAGAGTTATTGACAGTCGTAAACACAATTTTCACATAACTCTATCACTTTCTGTCGCCTACTTAGCGCCCCGATTAGCTTGCTCTCTGTCTCTGTGTTTGATGTAAGTTGAACTCTGTGGTTTAACAGTAACACAACTCATCGTGCTTGTGAGTTGATGCTCCAGTCGGAGAACAGACATTTCCGTTTGCCTCGGTAGTGATCACGTGTTTTGTCTTCTCATTTATACTAATCAAAATATGTACAGTTGAGGGCGATCTGGTTCACAGGTATAACTTTTTACCACTCACTTCCAGTTGGTGTTCATCTGAGAATTAGGGTTTAATCAATAGTGCTCATCGTTGCATGTGATATCTGCCAACAATTTAACAAACAAACCTGTTAATAAGTTGGTGTAATATTACTATTGGTTACCACTTGTCATCACGCGGGGATCAATACACAATTTTGTGCTACAATTTCTAAAGTATCATCTTTCCCTATTGTTCGCTGCATTTCTCACAAACCTAACCCAGTGCAGTATCATTTTTCTTTTCGGGATATCGTTCAAGCGTTTCCATTCCTTTCGGATTCTGCACTGTGCTTGTTTGCTTGCTACGGGAACGAAAATCGGTAGTTTTATCGTTTGTAATAGGTCATAACTCAGTGCGGAATACAATAGTCCTTGAGTCTTCAATCTAATGAATGCATCAGTACTTATGGGAGGAAGTAACCAGATTCAGCTGGTCGTGGTGGGAATTGGTTCGTGTTTTTGCTACATGTCTGTGTTAGTAATCGTTTTTATTGATTATGTTTGTTTGTGCGTAGTTTGAGCTCTGTGTGTGCGCGTGTATGTGCAGATTGCAAGTGTGTGTGTGTGTCAATGATGTACGAAGGAAGGGGCCGTGGAGAAGAAATGAATACTACATCTGGTTTCTTATTACACTCGTAAGCGAGCGATTGAAAACCCAATCGGTTTTTACCTTCCTGTGTGTGTTACCTGTCTACATGTCTGTGTGTTCAGCTGCTCACGTGGATTCATGTGTCACGCTCACCGCTTGCTGCTGAAACACAGGCTTATCGGGAGAATCGTTCTTTTAAGCACCCAGTAGCTTGGTTAATTTCTGAATGAATCCTCGTGTTGTACGACTACCCGTGCGTGCACGAGGTAAGTTTCACTTATCAAACTGAGTTGATCTACACTTACGTTATGCTCATCATTTTTCTGACCTATGGTGTGCTTGCTTTGGTGAGGTGAGCACCAAACCCTGGTTTCCAACCAAATCACACTTATTGTGCACCGTGGTTGATCCCTGTCTTTCTCTAGGTCCTAGTGGTCCTGCTGTCCTCGAGACTGACCTAATCAACGAGCTCATATTTGCACTGAACGGTGTTGGCGGTAATCTGGTCAAATTCGATCCGATAAACGACGGGTTTTGCGTAAGTTAAACAGACTTATTTTTCCCTTTGTTCCCCCAGTGTAATGCATATGAATTTCTAGGTCTGATACAATTGCAAACCTGGACAGATTCAGGGAAATCATTGTGGAATTATGTGATCTCTTTAAGTAGTGTTTTTTTTACCTCACAGCTAGCACCGACTGTGGTCGCTTCTCCTGGTCAGCATGATGCGGTACGTCGAATTGCTGAATGTGGTTGGTTACATGACCAAGTACGACGTTACGTACAACACGTGCAGGCGGATCGAACGTGCGGTGCGGTAGCTCAAAGTTTAGCATCCGGATTGCATGAACATTTGACCGAATACTATCGACTGATTGCCACTCTTGAAGTGAGTATATTTATCGATCCATCCGATGATGATGATTGAATATCACTTGCCGGGTTTGGGATAGATATTGCAATGTGAATGCACGTGGACTGAATGACATGCAAATCTGACCGGTTTGCTAATCAAATTCGTCGGGGTGATTGAATGTCTTCGGGTGTTAAAACCGAATGCACTTATCCGGGGTACGCTCTGATCGGTTTGCACGTCCCAATGTTCTACCAGAGAAAACAAACCATATCTAGGCCACACAGAGATATTTTCATTGACTTCCTTTACCTGAAC